CCTCGCAGCCTGCCGCTGTTGCCACCGCCGCTCCCCCATGCGGCCCGGGCGCATAGTCAGCTGCGCCCCTTTCTCCAGGACCTTCGCCGACTTACTCAGCCGTGGCACAGGCCTCCGCTCCTCGATCCCCTCGCCGCCAAAACGGTGGCGCACCACTCATCCACTTGTCGGACATTGCCTTGTATGACGGTACAGGCATACGCGTGTCTCGGTGGCTGCAGTCTGCCACCCACACACTTCAGCTCATGGGCGCCACACCCGAGACGTGGGTGGGTCTCCTCTCCACGCGCCTGCGTGGCGGTCCTTTTGAGGCCTGGGAGGATTTCTATGCCTACTCCCTTCGTGAGGGTCGAACTCCGACCTTCGTGGATTTTCAGGCGTTCCTCGAGGATCGCTTCGGAGTCCGATACGACGTGACTAACGCCTTCGAGCGTGTCGTCACTACACGCTGGTCCGACTCTGTTGGCGCTGCCGGCCTGGATCGCCACATCCAGGTCTTTGAGGACGCCCGCCTCGTTTGCGACGTGGCGTTCCTCCCCGAGGCTGCCCTTATCGATTGTTTCCTGGCCAGCCTTCCGCTCGAGTACCGCTCCGAGCTATGGCGGTACGAGTTCACATCGGCCCCACAGGCTTACGAGGCCGCCAGGGACCACCAGCGGATGCGAGCCCGTCCTCACCCCGCCTCCTCCTCCCAGCCCCAGCGCACGGGCTACGCCTCCTCCTCCTCTCACGGCACTTCCCAGCGCCATTCCCCTTTCCGCGGTCGCCCCCGCCGTTCCACACAGCAGGGCCGCCACTTCTTGTGCCGCTTCAGCGCGCTGGAGTATGGTGAGCAGGACGCTGTTGCCCCACCGTCATTTGAGGGCGACCACAAGCGACGACCTTGATCTCTGCGTGGCCGTCCACTATTACTTGGAGGACTCTACCCTCCCTGGAGCTGAGCACCTTCAGCTCGCGCTCTCTGCCCTCTCTCGGACACGCAGCCGCTCCGGTCACGCTGGCGCATCGCCCCCCGAGGTCCCTCAGGAGGACCTCCCTCAGGGCTTCGTCCCTCCTCGTGGTGGCCTTTCCCCTGAGGAGCGCGCGGCTATTCTGGGCCGGCGTGGGTGTTTGCGCTGCCGTTTGGATGATCATACCTCCTCGCGGTGCCCTTACACTACTGCCCTCGACCACCACTAAGCTGACCTTTCTCGTCAGCGTCATGCTCAGTCCCCCCCCGGCACCTCACGTCCCCGCGGCGCCTCCTAGCCATGGTGCAGTGTACACCTGCGCCCTCCTCAGTAGTGGGCTTCCCGACATCTCCGTCACGGTTTGCCCCTCTCGCTACTGGAGTTGAGGTATCGCAGGACTCGACAGAGTGTACTCAGCCCTCTGTCGCCGTACCGTTTGCGCCTCTGCAGACCACCGTCTCCCCTACTCCCCCGCCGCGACTACCGACGCGTCGAGCCATTCGCTCAGCCTGTTGCAGCGAGCAGCTTGCTACTCGCGAGGACGTTGTGTCCTCTCTTCTGGATTTGAGCATGCTCCAGGCTCGTCAGGAGCGACTCACCCTCCATGTCGCTGCACTGSGTCGCCTTCTCGCCATCCTCTCTGACCCTGATCGCACCCTCCCGATCATCCCCGTACGACTTGGGACCTCCACGAGGGTGTACTCAGCGCTGTGGGATTCCGGTTCTCAGGGGGACTTCATTCACCCACGCGCCACGCGTGGTGAAGGAAGCCCGCTTACCCACGACAGGGTCTCCGACTCCCATCTCTGTTACCCTAGGGGATGACAAGACCCAG